GTTAAAAAAAAAAAAAAAAAAAAGACTTTCGTATACGTCGTCATCTATTTCTGGGTTTTTCTACAAACAAATGGACTTCAGATTAAAAGTTTCATTTTGTCAAATCGGAAGATATTAAAAAGAAAGTAAAAAAAAAAAAAAAAAAGACATTCGTAGCGGTTAGTCATACAATATTAAATCTTGAGGAAAGTTGCAAGATCATGATGATAAAACAGTTTTGCTGTAAAAAGAATTGGACGGACATCAATCAATGAGTTCTAGATCAATGTTATTAATTTATAAGAGGACAGTACTTATTTTGTAAATGTTAAAATATATATATATATATATAAGTTAACTTTGCTATTTCTCCTTCAAAAATGTGTTAAAATTTTTAAAGTAATTAAGATATTTTCTACATAAACCAGTGATTTTATAGAATAAAAAAATTATTATTTGTAAATAAATAAAGAAAAAAAAACTATTCAAATTGTTCTATACTTTCATACGACTTTTCAATAAAATAATTTAATAAAAAAAATCAATCTTATAAAATCTAATTTTTCAAAATTAATGATGAACTTTTGTAAGTCGCAAGTTTATTTATTCATTTAATACATTTGCGATTGGAAGTATCATAAGACAGCAAATTTTCTTACCCCATTAAGCAACAATACACTTAAAAGATTATCGAAAAATTATGATGATTTCCTATGTTTACATCTCACCAAAAGGCTCATATCATCATCAGAAATGTTGAATAAATGTTTATGATGATGATGATGATGATGTTGCATATTATTTATAACTGTTTACTTACAAAATCGAAATAATTAAATTGTGCAGTTTGCACTTACTAAATTTAAAATTATTATTAACAAATTATTAAGTATTTAGATTACTATTGTTAGAGAAAATTCCTTTTATAGCATATTTCAAACTTCCTCAGTAATGCAATATAATCATTGAACCACGTTAAATCGTTGAAATTACATTGAATCACGTCTTAATAATGTCTGTTCATTCTTGATATGATTTCCTATGTTACAATTAAGCTATTTATGACACGCTTTATGCATCAATATTCGATAGAATGTATTGCTGCTTGATAATTATCCATCTATAAACTAAATTACGAAGCATTCTATTTAATATCAGTTATTTTCATAAAATGCTCTTTTGTATTCATTCAATTAAGTTGTACAACCGAAAATTAATTAATTAATAGCAAATATATTAAAATAAATCTGTATACAGCATATCTTTGAGTATATTAAATATTTAATTTTTACGATAAATATTTAATTTTACGGCAAAATATTCTTTAAAATATAAAAAAATAAATCTACTCAAACAATAAATTTATAAACGAAAAACTTCGTTGAATTTGATTAATTTTATAAAATAAAATTTTTAAATATATATATATATATATTTATTTACTCGAATAAACTTTTATTTTATTTTTATACGTAAAAGTTTTTAAAATTTTAAATTATATACACACAAACACACAAAATCCCTACCGTATACACGTATAGATCCTTCAGTAGAACCTAAAGAATTCTTTGCAAAGCATTTATACGATCCATAATCTTCTGGCTCCAGATTTTTTATTGTTAACTTCATATGAACTTTATAAGTTTTGTCTTTCATTCTAGTAACGTATTTATCATTAGATATAATCATATCACCGTCTTCTTTAGTCCAATAATTAATTGACATGGGATAAGCTTCTGTATGGCAATCTAGTGTAACTTCTCCTATAAGTGGTGCACCAACAAGCTGATTTGGAATCCATATCATTGGTGGAACTTAACGAGAACAAAAACAAAATACTTAATTGGATCATAAAGTATTGTATACAACATTTTTTTTTATTTAAAAAAATATAAATAAATGTATATTAGGATAATTATCAAGCATCAATATTCG